AAAGAGTGTGGTGTAATAATTGAAAGGGAGAGAGATTGCGAGTGTTGGCGGAGGGCATTCTATTAATGAAATAGACAGCAGTGTGAACTGCTTCCATCCAGAATTTTGGTGGAAGTGGGACTGTGTTAAGCAAGGTTCTGGATGTTTCAACAAGATGTCGATTTTTACACTCGGCTTCTGTTCCGGTATATAAGGACAACTGAGCCAATGATGTACCCCTTGTGTTTTTATAAGTAAGATTGAAACATACGAGAATTACATTCAGTATCATTGTCAGATCTTCTAGTTTTGCTATTACTGTTGTAATAATTTTGAATTTGTTTTGTGCAATTCATAAGAAATAAAGGAACTTTAGTTTTGGAATTTAGCGAGAAACACCAATAGTAACGTGAATAATCATCAATAAAAGTGACATAGTATATGCAACCATCAAGGTAAGGCTGTGAAAAAGGCTTCCAGACGTTGGTATGAAGCAATTCAAATGCACGATATACAGTGATACTTGTAGAGAAAGGTTGCTTATGAGATGTATTTCTTTTGCAATCATTACATTCAAAGATACTTTTATTTATGTTCAGTTGTGGTTGTTGATTAGCTATCTGATATGTCTTTTTTATGCTTAAATTCACTTACATTTATCACATATTTTTTAATGAAATTACAATTTAAGAAATGGTTATTTTCATATTTATCTTACAGGTATAACACTTGGAGCGGATTGGAGCTGAAACGGAGCGAAACGGAGACAAATGGGAATAAATGAGGGTGGCGCCTACGCGCCAGTTTCTGCCGAAAAAACAAAGAAGATTATGCCTAGGCGCCGAAAACTGGCACCTAGGAGGCCGAACTGTCCAGAGGCGATTTCTACACACCCCGAGAGTTATTTGACGAATTTGGATGGTTGGAAAGACACTTTTCGACATTTCTAAATCCTGAAATTCTCCAACAAGGCCAAGAGATAATAGATAGGTGTAGGAAATGTAGCTTTTACTTTTTTTGGAGGGATTGGTGAGGGGATTTTGAGAGATATCTGTAAGGGTTTGTATTAACATTGCATGGATCAGCAGAAAACTTTGTTGGAGGGATTTTAATCTTTTTTTCAATCTTTTTTTCAGCTTTTTTTCAGAGAGAAAAGTCAAGTATTGTGTTTTTTAGTATTTAATACTTGTTGCAATCATATATCTAGTGGACTTGCTTTGATTCAATGAAGTTTTCTGTTGTTTCAAACAAAGCTTTGTGAGTAGAAATTCTCGAACTTTTCTCTTTTGATTGTTAGATAAAACTTGTAGAATGTTGAATCTTATGGAATCCTTTTTTCTTATTTTAATGTGATGGTTCTTACTTCATGCTTCATTTACAAGTCGATCTGGTCATTTGGTATTTTAAAATTTGTTATAAACTTATAAGATCCGGAAGGACTATGGCTTTAACAACTAGGAGGAACCATATTTAACTTATAGGTTAAGGAAAAATAGTCCAAAGAATTAATACAATGATAGGGAAATATTCGTTGTTGGGTGTAAATTGGCATTTCTAGAGTGACAGGCTAAAGTCCTACAAATTTGATCTAGGGCTTTGTACCTTAAATCTAAGATTAAGTCAATTAAAGGGCTATTGGGAGAAGGAGACTTTAGGGTGACAGGCTAGAAGTTTCGTCGCGACAATCTAGTTATTTTAAGGGCAGAAGAGGGTAACTTAGATTTTTTCTCCTATTGTCACTAGCTACATTAGATTCTAAGCATTCCGCTCCTACAAATTGTCTACAGCTCTGTTTGGGGATGCGGTAGAGGAGCGGTGCGGCACTATGCCGCTTTTTCTGTGTTTGGGACGGCGGGGCAAGCGCGGTGCCCCAAGATTTTGCTTAAATGCAGGCTGAAGGTTCGATCCCGCGGCCCGCTTTCGGCTTTGAAGTTTTACGTTGGTGCCCTCCTGTGATTCCGCCCTTCCTCCTCCTTCGGCTCGGTAAGCTGTGATATTTTCTCCTCCTCTATTCGCACAAAGCAAAAGCCTTCGCCACTCCAAGCTACGATCTTCCCACCGAAAATTTTCGCGTCGGCAAGGCCCATGTCCATCAGCTCTCTCATTCCACTGGTTGCGTCGAAGAAGAAACGGCGAGCAAGGGATAATAATGGCCACCATCCTTTCGTTCTGCAACTATCACTCTCCTCACTCTAACCACCCATCCCCTCTTCTCCTTCGTTACTCCCTAATCTCAACCCTCAACCTCCGTCCCGTCTCCTCCAGCGATTGACGCCGGGTAGTGAAAGTTGGAAAGAAGGTCGAGAAGGGCTTGGCGAATGAAGATGGAATATAAGCAGCC